TTTATCATTATTTTAATATACTAAAGTTACAAGAAATATATTTATTATTTTTGTTTCATGCAAGCGTTATTTGTCTAGTGGTATGATACATCCCTGCCACGGATGAGGCCCGGGTTCGATTCCCGGATGACGCATTTTTATATGTTGGAACTAAGAATTTTGATAAAGCATATTTTTACAATTATCACAACAAAAGGAGTTTTTAAATAAATATATTATTTTTATATAAATTTTAATTTAAATCATTTAAAATTAGAGCATTCTTTATTAAAATGTAATTCATTAGAAATAATTAAGCACTTCAATTATTCAAAAATCTAAATAAAATTATCTACTTTTCATTATGCCTCAATTTAATGCTACTTAATTCATTTCTTATGTACTTCTTAAAGAATAAATCAGATTTCTTATTATAAAACTTGCAATCAACAAAATCAAACTTGATTGGTCCACTTATAGGGGATGATATCCACAGTTGTTTCGTAGGGGATTGCTTATTAAACACGTAATCACCAATGTTAGCTACTTTCCATGTTAGAACGTTGTTGTTAAGATCTATGTCAGATGTAAAAGGAGATTTAAACAACTTCTCATATAATTTTATTAATGTCTCTTTTATTGAATCGTTAAAATTGCATTTCTCCATCTTTTATAAAGAATATAAATTTAATTAATATTTAAATAAAAGATTTTAAATAGATAATTTTTATTCCTATTTTCATTGTAGAATATTTATTTTCTTATTCAATGGAAATTCATTCGTTTATTTTTTACCATACGTACTAAATATAAACACATAGCAATGACCCAGCCAAATCCCTTTTGAATTTTTTTATTCATGAACATATTTATTAAATTTAAAGGGCTTGGTGAATATCTTTCATAGAGCACTTCTGTTCTTTAAATACTTGCAGATAAATGTATCAATTCTTTTAAATATCAAAAATCACCTTTCGTTTAATTTTACTCAAGAAAAATTTAGTATCTAAAAAGAATAATGATGCCTATGGATTAGAAAAATCCTTTCTTTTTTATGATTAACAACGTAAGTTGTAACTTCTGAATATCACCAAAATTTTCAAAGGCCAATCTTGTACTTTTTATAGAATCACACCATTCAATGGGTTTGTACCTCAAAAAAAGGACATTAAATTTATAAAAGTGGTGTTAGTCTTAAATTACCATGTACTAAACAATTTCAGAATTTGCATTAATCATTCCATGATTGTATTAACTAATTTTTTCTTTTTGTTGCAATCTTTATCAATTTTTAGCCTATTTTATATTTTCTCCCATTTAGGGATAGGACTATTTAGCTCTGCAGGAATTGTATTTTCCATATTTATGTCCCGTTTATTTCTTATATAAAATCTAAATCTATTTTAGAATCTATAAACACTTTCACTAATAAAAATACTCTTCTTGTTTATTTCGCTCAATTTATTTCTGAATTTTATAAAGAATTTCGCAATCAAAAATTGTTCTCTTAATCGTAGGAGATTCAATTTGTACACAATAATTATTTAGTTTTGATACCTTTTAGTAAATTTATCCTCGATTTAAGATATTCTTTTATTCATCGAAAAATTCTACTCTTTTTAGAACTTATAAGTCCTCATTTGTTTACAGAAATTCGTTAAGAAATAATGGTTATAATTATAGAAACGGCTAAAATATTACAACAGAGGAATATGAGGTATTCCAAAGGTATTAGATCCTTTTACATTCAAAATCTATACAAATATATTTATCCCATTTATAAAATACAATGTAAATAGAACATTAAAAATCGAGGTCATAATATCATTAAAAACTTAACTATAAAATAATTAACTTAATAATAGCCTTCTCTAAATCTCTTTTCCGGGCTAAAAAAAGGTTTCTAATTTAATTGTGTTGAAGAAATATTTCTAATTACTTTTTTTCGATTGATTTAATATATTTTCTACTATTAATTGAATTTTTTTTCTAGGGTTATTATATAATAGATATTAAATCCATTTGTATAAAAAGGTTTTAATAATATATTCTTCATTATTATTCGGTTTTTCATTCCAATTTAAGCAAGAAAGTTCGGAGGAAACAAAGAAAGAGGTCAAGATCAAATAAAAGTATTAATTACTATGAGAACTCACAAAAAAAGGTTATAATAATATCTCTAACCCAAGAATATTTAATGAAAAAATAAATAAGCCCATGTAATTTGAACTTCCAACAAGAAACTGAATAAAAGGCATGAAGGAAACTTTAATTATAAAATTATATAATCCATCTTTTTAAAACATTTACTTTTTAAGTCCTTCCCGTGTGAAAAGGACAATTGCAAACCATTAATTATTAGTAAAAGTAGCAAGGCATAGATCATATAACCCGGTCAACTTGATTGAATGCTTTGATGAGCAGAACAGGTTTTTTCGTTTTAAACACCAAAATCATTACAATATTGTAAATCGTAGCCAACTGCATATAAATTTTAATATTTTTATATCATCATTTCGTGAACAAATCAATATTTCATATTTCATACCAATTATTCTCCATTTCGTAATAATATTTTACTATTAAATCTGTTGAATTAAGAATATCCTTTAAGCAAATTTCTATGAAATATTTCATAACCTATTCAAAAATGTCATGGGATCTTAAAAATATATGATAAACTAATACATTTTTCAGAAATAATAAAATGATTCATTATTTTAGTACCTTGCAATAAAAGTATTACACTTTTTAATATTAAAAAATATACTTATTTCCACTCGTATAGATATTTAACAGTGAAGATATAATTTATAGTTTTAGTGTTAAATATATTTTATAATATTTCATTAACTTAATTAAAAACTTACAGTAAAGACTATGTTGATTAAATTTGCTATTTTAATTACAAAATAAATTGTTTTTTTGCTAATATTTACATTTTATATTAATTGATAAGATTGCTGAAGAAAAACATAGAGCTTGGGTAAAATGATTGAGAAATATTTGACTAAATGTATACTTGGATTCTTATTTCTTGTTCAAATAGAAATCGGTTAAGAATCAGAGCCCTTTTTTGTAAATGGAATGAATAGTCAGAATAAAAAGATGAGTTACTTTACAGACTATAAAAAAGGATCAAAATGCAGAATTTTGATTCGAGGGTAAAAAAATCATTAATAAAAGACGATTAAAAATGGGATAAAATATAGCATCAGTTGAACATTCAAACTTATTCATTTTTATATGTGTCATGAACTGATAACTTATGTTATGTTAATTATTTTTAAAATTATTATTTATTTATAAATAAAATGCCCAAGGAAATGATAATGAAGCAGGAGAACAATATAAATGAAGAGTTAATTATTTAAATTTTCAATTTTTATAGCTTTTATGTTAAATCAAAAGGAAATTTATCGTCGAATAAAAATGCTCTAAATTTAGTAGATATTCTCTTTAAATATGGTTAATTTAAGCCCTCAACAAAAATATTTATATAAGCACCATTAAAAATAAAAAGCTTTAATGACAAGATTAATTATCTTTGCATTGCTAAGCCAAGATCTTTGTAGGAAAATTTTAAGGCTATTATTTAAGAATAACATATAAGTTAAAATAAATCCAATAATTAATAACTCAG